CGAAGTTTAAATCCGATATAATTTCTAACAGTCGGGTTAGTCGAGCGGGCATGAACGAGCAAGGTAAGACGTAAATATTTTGGCCCGACGCCTTATCTTGAGCGCGGCAACTGTCTGGCCTGATTTAGATTGATTTGAATTTTTTCAAATATTATAATATTAGAAAAAAAGATTGTTAACTGTATTAGCAAATATCCAGGAAAAAATTAAAAAAACTATGCGTCGTAAATCATAAAGTACTGGTTAACCCCTTTGACTCTCTTGTCTCGATCGAACTCTGTTAACTCGAATTCCTCGCTTAATCATATCGAACTTACCAATTCACTACCTTCCCTATGGGCCGGCTTAAAAAGAAAATTTTCAATTTGCTAACTCGAATCCCTGCAAATTTGAGCTGCTTTTCCTTTTCCTATAAAAGGGGATTAGAGATAGCAGGGTTCTGCATAAAAAGAGAATTTTTTGTTGAATGGACATGTTGTAATTGCCAGTACACAGAACTTGGCCAGCGCCAGAAAGCTTGTTTAACTAATGAAGAGTCGAGTCAAATGAGTCAAACTTGGCGTGTAGCGCGGCAATGCTAGCCCTGCTACATGGTAGTGGTACCGCTCGGTTTCAAACGTCATGCTTCTGCCGTGCTTAAGTCGAATTTAAGTTCGGCACGGCTGAGTGGCATGACGTTTGAAACAGAACTGAGTGTACGTTATAGGTCATAACCAGCTCAGGATTAATGAAAATGGTGAAAACAGTTTATAAGCACCGACACGGACATGCAATACAGTGATCATAGGGATCATTGGCACTGACCCAAAATATTTTTATGGTTAGCACTTATTCAGGAGTATCCGGGGTCCTGGTTATATGTACCGTCAAAGTAGTTATTTTACTGGTAGCAAAACGAACTTTTTTATTTGACTCAATTTGCCCTGTGCGGCTCAGTCCCCAACGACATTTTCCAACTAAATGGTTGTTACCTAAATACAAATTAAACATATTTTTCTTAGTCCTTACCCCCTGACCCTAATCCCTAAACATAGCTTCGCTAGTTGGCCTTATTTACCCAAGGAAGCAAATCTAAAAATGCAGCTTGGACTGTCGGTCATTTTATAATAATCTCAAAACCTTGACTGGCTGCAGGTTATTTGATTCTAAAAAGGTGTAATTAAACTTTAAAACCGAGAAATGTTTCAAATGCCCGTTGTAAATAGATTTGACTTACCCAGCAAACTCGTACCAGCGGGTACAACACCAGCGAATGCGACAAATGTTTTCAATTCTGCTCATTAACGTTTGGCCGAGGCCGAGTAATTAAGTGACAGGTTAACTGTATCAAAAAATTGCGGAAGCTAATTTGAATTTAAAATTTAATTTACTCATGATTTAAAGGGTTACCTAATCTCGTTCAGATCTCTTGTTGGCGAACCCGAAGGCGAGATCTGGTCAAGTAAGAAGTTCAAGTTTTTTGATTGGCTGGATTGTGAGCGAATCACGTGAGCGTTGTCATCTGCGCGAGGTGTAGCTTGTGCAATTCATTCTTTGCAAATTTTGTTTTTAGTAGAGTCTGTTCAAAATAAATATTTTTACTGGAAAAGTAGTTTTCCGTTTCAATATAACTTGTAAAACCATTTTTATCTTATCCTTAACGCTCTTTCAGTATCAAGATAAGGAAATGGGTCAAAAAATTGTCGTAAAAGTTGACTCGTACTGTTTTGAGCTTTTAGCGCGCGCTATGATAACTAAACTTAAATCAACTGCCCGCGTTGAATTTGATGATACAAACAACAACAAATATTGGTTGATTCATACTAGACCTGTTCGTAACCACGTTTGGTTGGAGAAAACTTCACGGCACTATCAAATTCATTGTGTAACACGTCGAAACACGGCTGCCATTTTGTCACATTCCTGACAGGCGATCACGTGCACAAATCAGATTTGACCAGTTCGTCGACAAGAGATATGGGAGCGAGATTTAGAGTTACTTCAAGATTTGATAAGGCGGCGACGCTGATGAAAACGTTAATGAAAAAACAAACCAATTTTGAAACAGCTTGGTTCCTTTCTTTACTTCAACATCCTCCACGGGCATTTGAACTTAACATTTCCAACTGTTCAAATTCCCATACCATTGCACCAATATGGTAGTCCAATGCCGTACTATAGTGCTAGATTTGAATGTCGAATTACCCACCAAAGAGGAAGCGCTAAAACTGTTGATTACAAAAACAGTTTTGCAATGACGCAATGCGACGTGTAATGACGTCAACTTGAGAATATATTTCACAATTGCCTTCTAAAAAGAGCCATAAAGTTAAAAAAAATAATTCAAAATAGGAAGGCGTTTTACAAAATCATGTGGTTTCTTAACACTTCAATGATCTTTAACACAAAAGCAGATACTTGCTTTTGACGTCATTTATTATGGAGAAAGGAAACTGGAACCATCCGCCATCTGGCGAATCTTGGATTAGCGATTTTAGATAATTAAATTTATACAGAATTTTGCTTAAACCCGTAGAAATGTAAGAAATCGTAATTTCAAATTTGATCTGTGTTTAAAAGGATGCTTAAACTGAGGAGAGAAAAATAAATGCGCTAGTGATGACATTCTGCGTTGGGGGACTAGATCGAACGCCCTCCGGTGTGAAGAGAGGCTAGGTAGTTATACTGGCACAGTGGTTGATCTAGGCCTTCAGATAAGGGGGTGGGGCCCGTACCCTGAGATGAGGGGGGGGACCTGGCCTAAAAAAATTTTTTGCCGGCCTTTCAGGCCTCAGCTTGGTCTAAAAATAAAAGGGGGCGGGGTGGGCCCCCCTGGATCCGGCACTGTTACATCACTTTTTGGAACTTTTCGAGAAAGAAAAAAGGCAAAAAAGGTAATTTGTTTCTACATCGGTATTTGCAAAATACAAAATACAAAACTAGTAAAATGAGCGACATAACTCTACGCGTTAAAATATGCAGTGTCGAATTGATCGGCGCATTATTTACTTAGTCCCCCTCGCGGTCGTTTCGTCCTATCGCGCAGCGAATCAGGTTGGAGCACTACTAAAGTCACAGATACAGTAGGAAAATTATCGTTCTAGCCTCTTACTTAAAAGCCCCCGCTACTCAGGCTCTAGTAGCACTCCTTGTTTATTTTTAAATTAGATAATTTTTTTTGTTTGCCTTGACCCAGCGCATTTCTTTAATGGAGGTCAAAAGTCTCTGGCACACCTAACACGATATATAAGACTGGAAATGACTCCCTTCACCCCTTGCACCCGGCCAAAACAATTTTGGCTGATTAGATCTCCTTTCTTGATATCCAACGTTTACAACTAGCAGGATCTTCGTGCACGGTTTTTGCAGTTAATTTAATCCAAACAATGTTGTATTCATGTTAGCCTGCGAGCAAGCTATCCTATTTGGGCAAGCCAAGCGAGCCTCGCGAGAACACACGAGCGAGACTCGTTTAACTCGCCCAAATAGGAGAGCTTGCTCGCAGGCTATATTCATGTGCACCCTGTATACTTTACACCACCCCACCCCCGCTTCCCTCCACTGTCCTGAAAAGAGTTTGTTTTTTACAACATTGTTTGCAGGAGGGGGAGGGGATAGTCATTAGAGACGTCCGAGGTAGTGAATAAGTGGATCTCATGCGACATTTGCATATTTGATGTGCTTCCGCTGTTGAGGGAAGATTTTCAGCAACTGTCCCCTGGATTTATGGCCTCCAATATTGTACCACATGACTGTCACCTGCAAACACTGAGCCCATTCTGCCATTCACGATTAGGTTCCACACGTGTGGCGCTGCGTCATATAAAAGAATTATAAAATACTATAGGAACTGAATTGTGCTAATATAGAAAAATGGAAAGACAAACAAACGAACCAACAAACTTTGTTTCACAAGCCGAGCGATTCGCTGGCCACCACGCGGCCATCACGCGACAGTTTTTTCGCATGATAGACTAGGACCGAATAAGTCGTATCAGCCAATCAAAATTGTGAACCGCGAAATTCGAACTACATTCTAACAACATTCCAACATGGCTGCAGATTCAAAAGATTCTGCTCTTCAAGTTGCTTCGCTTTGTTGTGAAAATCAAAGCACTTATCCACAGAAGCAAGGTAATATATGACAGGACTTTGCCCTGGAGCTCAAAATCTCAGCTAACTTTCTGATTTTCGGTTTTTTATAGGTACCTATTCATGGCAAGCAGAGCTTCGTGATATTCGAGATTGCAAGAAAATAAACGACATTCTCGAACGAAGAAGCATTGAAATTCGTAGGCTTTACGAGCAGTGCCAAGATTCATGTAAGTGTTATTTTCAAATCCTTCTTTTTTGTAAAAGGGTGTTGCGTACTCAGCTGTAAGATTTCCGCACAGCCGCATACATATCAGCTCTAATTATTATGCATGCATGTTTTGACAGATGACTGTTTTGAGTTTTCACACATTTCCCATTTCATACATTCATATGTACGGTATTTTATGTTGCTTTTCTTCCTCTTCGTCGCGAGGGTTTCTTTTATTTTTCTCACCACGAGGAGCACGAGACACGTGACGTTGCCATCCTTTTCTGATGGTTGTGAAGAATAAATATCGTTGATTTGAGAATTCAACAAATCAGCTAAACAAATCTGATTGATCCCAAAAATACATACCCTATATTTATTATAAACTAGTGTTGTGTTTGATTTAAAGTGTGTAGTATTTGTTGTTTGTAGCATTTGTGTACCAAAATTGTGAATTTCTATACAGGGGCAAGTTTAATAAAACTGTAATTTACAAGACTAGTGTGCTCATTGTTTGAGTGTCTAAAAACAACACTGGTAAATCACAATTGTAATAGTTTTATTAAATTGACCCCGAGTTTAAAAATCAATGAAATAGAAACATATTGATCGCTGGCTTCTTTTTATAGTGGATGAATGTCGTCATCTTGAGGCGGAGTGGTTCGTTTTAGTTACAGAAAAAGACAAAAATTTTCGGCAACAAATTGAAGAGGTAATATTAATAGATTAAGCTTGTCAGACAGGCTGGTTAATATCAAACTTAAGGCTTTAAGTCACACAACAACCAAGAAATGAGGTCTCGGGGGAGTTGTGTTGTTTTTTAGATTCGTCTTTTGCTTTATGTAATGTGTGTTGGTATATACTACAGAACTGAAAGAAAGATGGTGGGAGACCAATGTTTAAATATAAGACTACTAAAATGATACAGGGTGCATTGATTCCATTTTGATGATCAGGATCAGGATTAGTGATCCCATCATCCTGAAGAGACCCAGGAGTGATAGCTGGATCTTTTTGAAAAAGTTTGCTGCTGATTTTCCTGACGCGACTCACCACCCCTTGGTCTCCAAGGATGAGATCACTCGGAAGAAAGCACAACAAAGGAGCCAACAAAGGGTTGCCCAAAGAGGATTTATTATTTCCTTTGATACATCATGGTCTGAGTGACCTGCATCCCTGATCCTGATCTGGAATATACCAAAGGAAATGCAACCAATGCCAAACCTCCAGAATTCAAACACTGGTGAGCAAAAACCTGGTGTCAATGTTATGGGAGTGTTCATATTATAGATATAGGGATTTCAAGATGTTTGGTGTCTTTGGCACCAAGGGAACTGTTTGTTATTAAAAATATTATCATAGAGGTCCGCACGGGGAGAGCTTCATCTGTAAAAATAGTCCAGACAAGTGCCAAATAACGAAAAGCATTGTTTTTCTAATTCTAAAGGAAAATGAAGAAGGCAAGAAGAATAAGATGAAACAACAGTACGATGTCATTAAATCACAGGATACTATCAGTGTTGCTAAACCAAATGAAACCACTTTNTACTGCCGAAGAAATGACATAGACATCACAAAAAAGTCCACAGACACCGTGAAATCAAGTGATGTTCATGATGAAAATACCTGTGCCACACCCCTACCTCCCCAGGTACTCATTCCACCTCCCCCGCCACCACCCCCTGTGGGAAATTTGGCAGCTTTTTTGGTATCAAACAGAGCTCTGAAGGAAAGAGGTTCTCAAAATCACCAGAAAAAGAATTTTAAACCAGTCAAACCAGATCCAGCAACACCATGCAATCATCTTAATGAAGAGCTCCTCAACAGAATAAGAAATGGGTGTCGTTCTGAACTAAAGAGCACGCCAGTGAAACGTTCGCCCGGTGGCACGCCACTAAAAAGACAAAGACGGATGTCTGAGAGTGACACTTCTGATTTAATAACTGTGGCACTGAAAAGGAAATTCCAACATACAATTTTCCATAGCCCTAAAGAATGTGATTCACCAAGATCTGTTGTGTCTCCTGGAGATATATAACAGAAACATTTTTTGAGGTATATTCCATTATCCTTAACTAACCAACAACAAATTCTGCATAACAATAATGAGCATTTAAATTTAAGATGGACTGTTGCATTTTCTTGTTGCATTTACCAGTTTACAATAAAATAAATGATGGATTTGGATGCCATGGACAGTAAAGATGTGATTACAAGTAGTAAGCTGCGCAAGAATTTATTTTGCCTTTTACCAGAAGTTATTTAAGTACAACAACCTTCTCTTTTGGGGAAGGGTGTTGTGTGATCACAAAATTAATTTGAAATAAGAGTTCCAAAATGCAACTAGAATTATTTGACATTATATTACTGGACACTAAGATTAAATAGCTAGGACGTTTTTACACCTATGCAGCTGGATTTTGAAGTCTCCAGCCTACAGAACAAGATTGCAATGTCATGCAGTGATTTCATCATTGAAAGAAGAATAAATTGCCTCATGGCTGAGTAAATCTTTTTTTTATGAAATTACCTATCTTACAGTGGAGTGCCTTTCTCACAACACAGTCACTTGTGGGATAGTTACGGGAGGAAATGGCCTCCTTCATTTTAAGAATTTTAATTTCGGGAACCTTAAAAGTAGAATTCAGTGTACTTTGAATGACCAGGGTACAAAATTAAATTTTAAACCAAAGATGGCACATTAACTTCATACCCACATTTGCTTCATCAATGTTTTTTCAAATTGTTTTCATCAAACAACAGTGATGAGAAACAATAAAAATTGTGACAGATTTGATATCGCACATGAAAAATGGAGCCTACAAAACTAGAAAAATATTGACGTCTAGAGAGCATACAGTTGTAATGTTGATAATTTAGATGATTAAAACTATTGCTAAAGCTTAATAAGTCTTGAGCTCACTATTAAGTGTTACTGACCGACTAAGCTAAGGATGATTATTACACATTAACCATCGTTGTCCTTCATGGACAAATTCCAAATCCCTTATATAATCTTTTAGCTTTTATGTATTTTGCATGTACACTGATAGTACTCATTACTTACAAATAAGATTTCGATAAAAGTAATTCTAATGCATAAAATAACAAAGTAATTAAATGACTTGCTATCTTTTGTCAGTCTGGGAGTTGTTGTCTTCATTAAGTTCTTTTTCCATAGCTTCTATAAAGGTGCTGGTTACTTCCAAACGCTGTTTCCTGTGAAGTTTGTATACGAGAGATAACTTTATAGAACATGCTGATATCAACTTACAAACAAGTACACTTTAGTTTCCACCATTAATTACTGGTTGTGAATACTGATAAGTTACAATTTTTCATCATTAGCTCTCAAAGGGAAAAAGTATACATACCATTCACTTTTATTGTCACACTGTTGTTGAACTTTCTTTGGTTTATATTCCTCTGGTAAGACTGCACTTCCAATTTGTGCAATTAAACCAACAGGCAAGCTAACAATTCAGAAATAGTTCTATTTAGTTAAAAAAATAAATTAAATTAAGTTGCAAATTGAACAATATTAATTTGGGTGGGAAAAGGAACACTTAACCGGTCATACTTAATCCAGACTCAAAAGTTAAAAGTAATGTTATTGACAGAACAACAGTGTTTGCTCAATATCCTGGCACTGAAAAGTGGGGTCTTTCCTTTGCGGAGGGGCTCCCTCCTGGTTACAGTCGACTCTCTCTTAACAAACACCTCTGTAAAACGGACACTTAGAGTTGGTCCCTGCCTTTCTTTACTCGCTTTATTTGACTCTCTATAAGACGGACACCTCTCTAAGATGGACACTTAGTGCCGGTCCCAAAGGTGTCCGTCTTAGAGAGAGTTGACTGTATTCCAATAAAATAAAAAATGCCTTCTTTCCCCTCTTGCCGGCTTCCCTGAGACACAAAGAGCCCTCTAGGAAGGAGAGTGGAAGTGGGTGGAAAAAATATGAGGCATACCCAAACTTTTTTTAATGAATTGAGACTGATGCATCTGGAAACTGAATTACACATTTACCAATGCAGTCTCTCAAATAACAACAAAATACTAAAGAGATTCAAACCTAGTAAGTTTGCAAATTCTAAGGTAAGATCTTATTTCCAAATGTCCTTCACAGTGGCATTTTTTGTTTTTTGCTTGAAGAGAGTTATAAAACAACAAATTGAATTATTAATGCGAGTCTCCTTTTTGGATAAAAAAAACTTTCAAAATAACTGCACTGCAGGGCTGTGCTTTAACAGTGCCCGGTGGCACCTGGCATCTTACAGGTTTGCTCCCGCACAACAAGAAATTCTTAGTTTTTTCATAGAAATCATCCCAGGTGTAGCCTGCGAGAGCTTCCGGTTTTTTCGGCTCAAGTTTCTAGTTTCTTCCACCGAGAACAACTAGAAACTTGAACCAAAAAAATGGATGCTCTTGCAGGCTACAGGTTCAGCTGAACACTGGACTCTCCTCCATTCTTCTTAGATCACAGCCTTGCACAGTAAGTGCAGCATATACCTAGCACTTCCAAGGGGAAAAACAGCCCTCCATCTTACCTCAGGCCTCCTCCTACCAGCACTCCGACCAACATTTTACGCCAGCCAGAAAATATGTTGTAAAGGGCACCAGTTGAGGCTACATTAAATCAAATACATTTAAAAAAGGAATCAGACAAGGTGTGTTCATGGTTATGGTAATCTTTCAACAACAATCACTGTGGACAAAACTCTCCAGAATGGCCTCTATGAAGACAGATTTTTCAGCAGGCAGTGTACATGTGGTAGGGGCACTTAATTTTGCCACTCCTTCAGGTTTATCTGGGAATCTCTTTGATAGAATTTAAACTTTTGAGCTTCTGTGTGCTTTAGTTTGGAATTAATTAGCCTATTTCCCCAACAAATTAAAATGATCAAAGTATGGTTTCTGCAGCTTTTTTGCACACATTTCATCACCAAAAAGTAGACTATTTTGTCATAATGATCCTGAGCCAGATTAATTTGGGGACTGGGTTGATTTGTTTATATGGGGGTCGGAATTCTTGGTCTTATTAAAAGGACTTGCAAAGGTCTGAATGATGTTACCACCCTAAGGACATTATAAATAAGGACGCTGTATTGTGCCATTTTTCCCTGAGAAATAGAGTGAACTTTGTACATGTTTGCAATGATGAAAAAGGAAAGAATAAGGTCTGCAAAAACCTTACCTCCAGTGGCTAAGTAATTCAATGCATCATCTTTGTTTCGATACGCCTCACACGCAACAAGGAGGAAACTGAAAATTCATATATAAAGGATTGGATAAGCAATACATGGCAACTTCAGTGTTATCAATAAATAAGATGCAGCAGTCAAAAGAATCTTTGGAAAGCTTTGCTACTTTGGCCATTGCACACTGATTTAAAAATTGTATATGTTTAGTTATATAATCTGTACTATTTTGTTCTCCATAGTTTCTTGTATTTTCTCACTCTCTCTCTTATTTTTTTCTGGACCTGAAAACAAGCAGTGTGAATATGATACTTCATCATGAAAATAACTTTTTTTCACAATTTTCAGCAAAAAAGTACCTTTACTATTTCCTTTCATTACTTTCTTTTGTTTTACTTACCTGTAAATACCCGAGAAGACGCCAGCTCTCCAACCCCATCGGCCACCATACTTTGCAAAGCCTAAGGCAACCGAGGCTTGGTATTGTCTTTGAGCATGCATTGCAGACTGATACACAGTGAGCTGATTATGTCGGCGATAATGGTCATCTGCAATCCGTTTGCCAAACTGGCCACCGAGCAGGAAGGCAAATGCTGATGTATAGCAAACAACACTTGGGATATGCTGAATTTCCTCTCTTGGCCCTTCACTGGATATAAATAATAAAAATAACTTTTAATTCATAATGTTTTTCCAGAAGTGGCTAAAATAAAAGTTCAATAAAAATTCCAAATTCAGTTATTACGTGAAATGTTGGAAAACAGAAGTACTTTGTGAAGAGATTTCTCTGGATGGATGCAGGATGTCACTCACAGATAGAATCAAAAGTTACAAATATAGAAGCAGCCCGGACAAGTATAATGCTGTAAATCCTCTACTAATGCCTACTTTTCCTTCTCATGGCTATGCAAATTCCCCATCCTAGATAATTTATGCTCACTATGATGAAGTTTTCACCTCTGTCTTAAGCATCCCACTTGAACATCACCCCCCACCCCCAACCCTTGCCTAAAAAAAGAAAGTAGATACTGTAATCTTTTTTGTACCGAAAACACTGACCTCACGTCAAATAATGCCTTAATTCTGTCCCAACCATTCTCTCTTTCATCCTCTGTACTCTGCTTAAACCCTTCCCTAACGAGAACAAAAAAATCTTGTTAATAAGAAAAGCTGGTCTGTCACATTTAAAAATGTGTTCAATATGGTCAACTCTTAGCCTGTATAACTGGCACTTAAAAGGAATATAGGCACAAGATAGAATAGAGCATGGGAGGGAGAGGGGTACCACTCCCTTTCTTGTTATATGCCCTATTCTTTCTTCAACGCAAACTCAAGTGACACACCCTATTATTTCTTGCACCAAAAGGCTATTTTCCTGTCAAGCAGCTGCTATGCANTAGAATCAAAAGTTACAAATATAGAAGCAGCCCGGACAAGTATAATGCTGTAAATCCTCTACTAATGCCTACTTTTCCTTCTCATGGCTATGCAAATTCCCCATCCTAGATAATTTATGCTCACTATGATGAAGTTTTCACCTCTGTCTTAAGCATCCCACTTGAACATCACCCCCCACCCCCAACCCTTGCCTAAAAAAAGAAAGTAGATACTGTAATCTTTTTTGTACCGAAAACACTGACCTCACGTCAAATAATGCCTTAATTCTGTCCCAACCATTCTCTCTTTCATCCTCTGTACTCTGCTTAAACCCTTCCCTAACGAGAACAAAAAAATCTTGTTAATAAGAAAAGCTGGTCTGTCACATTTAAAAATGTGTTCAATATGGTCAACTCTTAGCCTGTATAACTGGCACTTAAAAGGAATATAGGCACAAGATAGAATAGAGCATGGGAGGGAGAGGGGTACCACTCCCTTTCTTGTTATATGCCCTATTCTTTCTTCAACGCAAACTCAAGTGACACACCCTATTATTTCTTGCACCAAAAGGCTATTTTCCTGTCAAGCAGCTGCTATGCAGGCTCAAATTTTTGTTAGCTCCATTTCAAAAATGAAATCCGAAGGGTTCGTTCTTTGTCAGCACATTTGAAAAATTTGACTGAAGGGTCAAAATTTTGCTTTGCTTTTATTTTTAAGATAAAATCCGAACCCCGTCATCCTTAGGAGCGGTGGAGGGGTGCGGATAAAAAATGGAACGTCCCCTAGTATAAAACTCTACTATACTACCACCCTTATTTTACTTCTTACCTTTGCTTCTCAAAAAAGCTCTGGACTCTTTTCCATAAAGTAACTTTTTTTTCGTCTTTTGCAGACATCGGAAATCCTTGCGTACCACTTTAGCCAAATCCCGGGAAATTTTTGGGAAAAGTTCGTCACAAATCTGACGGTAAAACTATCCAAACATACTGTCGTAAAGAAATCTTACCTTATTTTTTTATACCTATTGTTTTATACAAGAGTACTCTAGAAAGTTGAGAGAAGAAATAAAGTTCAACTTGTTGAAAAGTTGGACACATTAACTTCTCTCCGAGAAGCCATCTTGACCGAGCGAATTTGAAAGGTCTGGCACTGCTGAAGCCTCGATTCTAGGAAAAACACAGGGCTCCCACTAACCGCCTCGTCCCTACTCCCTTTTTTTGGAACACGGCTCCGCCGCCAAAACTTTAATCTCGCGAAAAATGTAATAAACCAGCATAAACCAGAATCGGGCTTTACAATATCCGGGTGTGATTGATCCATTTTTAACCCCTTCTTCCTCTTTCTTACGATTGCAAGCAGTTTGGGCCCCATCTTTTTCTTCCCAGAATGCAACGTACCCTTTCTAGTGCTGGGCTTTTCAGGTAAAAACTGGGATGAGTTTATCCGTCTGATGTAAATAGGCCATTTTACAGTTCTGGGCTTAGTGTCCTAGCCTTTTGTGAGTGAACGTTAGACTGTGGTCGGATACAAACCTCCTCTCTTTCCTAACGTAAATTTTGCTTAAAAAATACTAGTTAGTATAAAGGATAATTAGCCTTCAAAATCTGTCAAAATTGAGAGATAAACAGATTGATAAAGATAGGCGGATTGCTCGTCCAAAATTAAAACCGCTCCATTTTTAAATTAAGACGGATGAAATCAGACGAATTATCCGTCCAAATTGAACATCGTCCCGTTTTCATCTCCAGACGGATTATCCGTCCCTTGTGCTTGACAACGGTCTACGACTAAATAAGGTACTACATGTCCGCTGTACTGTATAATCCAATCTCAGTAACGCGAGGCATGTCGCGTACTACTGTCACAGAGAAGGCAGGAAGTACAGAGGTCTAAGGAATACAAATTTCCCCTTTGGTAAAAAAAGTTCTTTATAAAGTAATACAAACATTTTCGCCGCGAAACATCCTCTATCAATAAAAAACATCATCAGTGATAATAAATGACAATTAAAACTTTTATAACATATCAAAAAGAATGTGACGTGAATGAATGCGACTTTTATTCTTAACATCTTATCAAAGAATTCCTTGCTGGTAGAGGCCTCTTTTCTCTATCAAGAAAAAAAGCTCAGCAATAAAAATCTACAGCTGTTGAACTAAAATTTGCTTTGAAATGACATTGTGAAAATTTAAAAACCCACCTTATTTTTCTTGCAGCTAAAGTTTAATACAGTAAAACCCCTTTAAAATGAGACCAACATTGGGCCATAAAATCCTGGTCGTAATAACGAGGTGGTCGCATGGGTCTTCAAACTAATACAGTGACTAAGTGATTTTAACGTTTGGGTCGAAAGAAAATGATCGTCATAACGAGGTGGTCGTAAGGCGAAGTTTCACTGTACACACAAAAATCTTAGGTACGTAACTTTTTTTCGCCGCATTCATATCAAAGAATTGTTGCGTATTTGGTCGGATATCTCCGTTATTGAGTATGAATCTAGCTAATTCAAAACTAATGAGTCTACTGTAGTAATATGAATAAAACGCACACTACGATCGTAGTTTTGTACTTCAAAACCTAAACTAGCCTGGGAGCAGAATTACTTGTGCGAATTCGGGGAAAATTTTTCTCCCATGCAGCGAGCATAAGTGAAATTCAAAGTCACTTTTCCTCCTCGCTGGATGGCGGCTTCTCCCGAATTCGCACACGTGGGCCTGCTGGCAGGCTATTAATACACTGGACAATAAACCTACTTTACTTTTATAAAATGCACCTAATATAATGTCCTTTAAGTACAGCCAACATGCACAGTTGCGTACCGACTATAGCAAGGTCAACTGAACGCATACTTAAGTGCCTTTTTGGCATTAGATTAAGAATTGCTAAACGAAAATATAGACCTACTTTACTTTTACAACCTGCACAATTTCTTAAATTACCGTGCATCTACCAAAAATTAGAATCTAAATCTACTCTTACATTGCCTTTAAGGCTTTTGTCTTAATAAAAAAAGTCTTTCAGTATTCGCGATTATATCTGCCTTTTACTGTTCAAAGCGAAGTTTCTTCTCTCTAACAGGACACCCAGTTATGTAGAGCGCCAACCAGAAGCGTCGGCGTCCTGTGCTCCGGCAACATCTGTCTTCACAGAATACTGCATCCGCAGCAACATTTCTGAGGGTAGTCAGGTGCGTACACTTTGTGGTCATGACCAAACACCCAGAAGCGACTCGCAAAGTCATTCCACTGATAATGGACCTCAGATACAGGAACAGCTCGCAGGACGTGCCGCTGAAAGAAATTGTTACGCACTGTAGTCCTTCATTTCCCCCCAAATGGTGGTCAAGGAAATAAAATACAAGGGGTCAGGGGGTCAGGGGGTCAGTCAGGGGTGGGGTAGCGGTGAAACCGAGGGTGTATAATTTATATACTTCTTATTGGAGTGATAGAGTTAAAATCGATTGTAAAACACCAAGGTTTCAAGATACCTTCATTCCCCTTTCTTTAACCTGGGACAGGGGCAAGGGGTGGGAGTGGTTTCAGGAGGAAAGCGAGCCCTTTTTTTTATAAGCCTTAGTATATAAGTGCTTTTTCACACTGGCCAAACGTTCGAGTCTCCTTGTTTATTAATAATTAGTTTATAAACAACACTGTGTTCAAAGCCATATTCAATTTCGCATGTCCCCATATCTACACACGGTACCGTTTATTTCGCAGATAAAATTCCCAGATTCTATTGCGTTGTTTCTTTGTTTGTCTCCATTGAATTTTAAGTCTGACTTATCCCGCTCATAAGATATTTTGCTTCAATTTATTTACCTGCATAAGAATACGTTTCGCTGGCCACTTATTGCTGTGCTCCTCTACGAGTCTCTTAGATCCCATGTTAACTTGCTGGTCAAAAAAGGTACTGATCGGCCAAACCTGTGAGTTAAGCAACAACAAGGAGAAGTTATTGAAGTTAGTAAGGAGTTTAAGCAACGACGACGGCGACGGCAACGAGAACGTCAAAACAGCGAAAGGTTTAAGCAAAGCAACAAGTTTGCGCGAGCATCACGCTTTTTAATACATTTCCTTGCCGTTACTGCACGACTAAGACGTAAAAAAGGCCTAATTTAAATTTTATGGAGGACGCAAACAAGCGACGACGAAATTTCCTTTCTCTTTTGAAACTTTAGTGCGAACCCCAAGAAATCAAAACCAGGGAAATGACCCTACATTATACATTTTAAGCGACCTGAAATATACGCAAAGAAGTACGAAAAAACGCTTTGTGATTCCCTACTCCAGCAACAGTAATACGTGTTCCCCCACCCGGTAAGCACGCATCCCTAATAATATGTGCTCCCCACATGCAAAACATATATCCCTAGGGATATGTGTTCCCCCACCCGGAAAACTCATATCCCAAAAGATATGTGTTCACCCACCTAGGAAACACATATCCCATGTGATATAATCCCCCACCTGGAAAACACATATCCCTAGTGATATGTGTTCCCCAACCTTGAAAAAACACATATCCCTAGGTATATGTGTTCCCCCACCTTGGGACCACATATCCCTAGTGATATGTGTTCCCCCACGTGGGAAACACATATACCTAGTGATATGGGTTCCCCCACCCGGGAAACACATATCCCTAGTGATATGTGTTCCCCCATCTGGGAAACACATATCCCTAGTGATATGTGTTCCCCCACCTGGAAGACACATATCCCTAGTAATATGTGTTCCCCCACCTGGGAAACACATATCCC